GGAAGAAATAAGACAGTTTTGGGAACTAAGCAATAATGGCAGTGTATCATATCAGAACTTATGGTACACAGTGAAAGCAGTCCCGAAAAGAAAGTTTAGAGCTGTGAATGCCCACTTCACAAAAACAGAATGAGCCCAAATAAATAACCTAGTGATGCAACCCAAGGTCCAAGAAAAACAAGACCCCAAAGCTAGTACAAGGAAGGTATTGATAAAGATTAGGGCAAAAATCAATAAGATTGACCCCCCCAAAAAACCACCCCAATATAAGAACTTGGTGAATTGGAGAGTTGGTTCTTAAAAGAATAAACAAAATAGACAAAAATACTAACCACTTTAACAGAAAAAGGCCCAAATCAATGCAAATATGAGTGGAAAAGTTGAAATCACAATGGACACTGCTGAAATAAAAATTATTAATGACTACTTCACAAATCTGCATACCAGTACATTGGAGAATACAGAAGAAATGGATAGATTCTTAGATACATATGAATTACCAAAAGTGAACCAGGAAGATTTAAAAATCCTGAATAATCCAGTAATAGGCAATGAAATAGAAGCAGTAATAAAAAACTTACCAACTAAGAAAATCCCAGGTCTGGATGGATTCACTGCTGAATTATACAAAAACTTCAGAGAAATCACACAGCAATACTCCCCAAGCTTTTTAATGATATTGAAAGGGAAAGAGTACTCCCAAAGTCATTCTGGAAGTTAGTATTACCTTCATTCCAAAGCTAGTCAAGGACCCACCAAAAAAGAGAATTATAGACCAATCTCTTTAATGACTATAGATACAAAATTCTCAACAAGTTACGGGAAAACAGAATGCAACAAATCATCAAAAAGATCATATATCACAATCAAGTAGGCTTCATCCCAGGGATGCAAGGGTGGTTCCAGATACATAAATCCATAAATGTAAAACATCCCATAAGAAAGAAGAAAGGACAAAAATCACAGGATCATTTCAATAGATGTAGAAAAAGCCTTTGATAAAATCCAATATCCTTTCATGGTAAAAACACTGAACAAAATAAGTATAGAAGGACCTCATCTCAATCTGATAAAATCCATTTCTGACAAACTGACTGCCAACATAGTAAATGAGGAAAAAGTGGAAAACTTTCCCTCTAAAATCAGAAATAAGACAAGGATGTTCACTATCACAACTCTTGTTTAGCATAATACTTGAGACATCAGCAAGAATATTTAAGCAAGAAAAAGAAATAAAAGGACTATGTATAGGAAAAGAATCAAAATTATCATTATTTGCAGATGACACAGTCCGTTAGATAGAAGATGCAAAAAGTTCTACAAAAAGACTTCTAGAATTAATACCCAAATTCAACAATGTTGCAGTATACACAGTTAAAAGACACAAATTGATAGCATTTCTGTACACCAATCATTTCTAAGAAAGAAATTAGGAAAAAAGTGCCATTCACAGTAGCGCCAAGAAAAATTAAGTACTTAAACATTAACTTAATTAAGGAACTGAAAGTCCTGTACAGTGAAACCCACCATACGCTGAAAAAGGAAATCGAAGAGGATATCAGAAAATGGAAAGTCTATCCCCTATTCCTAGATAAGTAGAGCCAACATAGTCAAAACAGCCATATTTCCAAAATTGATACACAGATTTAGCACAACCCCAATCAAATTACCAACAGCATTCTTCACAGAAATGGAAGAAAATCCTAAAATTTATATGGAGCCAGAAGAGATCCATAATAGCAAAAACAATTATTGGAAACAACAGCAAAGTGGGAGGCATTGTAATCCCTGCCTTAAAGTTACATTATAAAATTAAAGTGATAAAAACAGCATGGTTCTGATACAAACCAGACATGAGGATCAGTGGAACAGAACAGAGGATGCAGAAACAGCTATAAGCACATTCAACTATCTGATCTCTGACAAGGTGTCCAAAAACATACACTGGAGTGAAGATAGCTTATTTAATAGATGGTGCTGGGAAAACCCGCTGCCCATATGCAGAAGATTGAATCTAGACCCATATCTCTTATCACATACTGAATTAAAATAAAAATGGATCAAAGAACTAAATGTTTAAAGAGAAACACCTGACCTGTTGGATGATACAATAGGTAAAACTGTTGAAGCCACAGAGCAGACAAGAGCTTTCTGAACAGAATCCTGGTTGCTTTGGAAATAGTACCAAGAATCAAGAAATGATATTATGTTAAATTAAAAAGCTTCTGTTCAGCAAAAGGAACAACAGAGTGAAAAACAACCTACCAAATGGGAAAAAGATATTTGCCAGTTATTCCTCAGAAGACGAATATCTAGAATATGCAAAGAACTAAAAAAAATTAGATCCCCAAATTAAAGACCCAATCATAAAATGGGCATGTAAAATGAATAGACATTTCACAAAAGAAGAAGTACAAATGGCCAATAACTACCCAAGGGCACACATAACATTGCTGGACATCAGAGAAATGCAAATTAAACCACCTTACCCCATTAAGAGTGGCCATCATAAAAAAAATCAAATAATAATAAATGCTGGTAAGACTACAGGGGAAAAAGAAACCTTCTACATGGTTGGTGGGAATGTGAACTGTATAGCCACTATAGAAATCAGTATGGAGATTGCTCCAAAAACTAAAACTAGAAATTCTATTCGATCCAGCTGTTTCCCTTCTAGATATTCTCCCTAAAGAGTTACAAACATCAAATTACAGTGATCCGTGTCTACTCATGTGTGTAGCAGCCCAACTCCTAAGAGCTAAATCTTGGAAGCAGCCTATATGTCCATCAGCAGATGAGTGGATAAAGAAAATGTGGGATTTACACCCAACGGAGTACTATTCTGCCATAAAGAAAGATAAACTGGAGTCATCCAGAGGAAAAAAGATGCACCGCGAGACCATACTGTTGAGTGAAATAAATCAGACACATAAGCTTAAATATCACATGCTTTCTCTTATGAGAGAAAAAAAATACAAATAAAGAGCAACATAAAAGATAGCTAATAGGAAGAAGGAAGATACACATTTCTCAAATAGGAAGGAGATCAAATAGGAGGGAGGGAAGGAAGAGGAGGGAAAGGAGATTTTTTAAAAAAGATGCATTATGTACACATATCAACTCCCCGAAAGAAGTGTAAACATTATCTCCTGCAAACATGCACTAGTAAAAGAAAAAAGCAGACTCATATCTGTCACTTCACCCCCGAATGCTATGTCTCACACCAGGAATACAATTTCTTGTTCCATGCTGGGCTCTGCCTCAAAGCTACCATTTGTTTCTATTGACTGAGTTTTAGTAATAGGTTAAAATATTTCTGTACATAAGGCCTACTGAGCACTTTGTCTGTGTGGGGAAGACAGGTGCAAATTTTCAACTGTTAACGCAGATACTTCTCGTGCTACTGAAATACTGTCTTACGGAGGGTGCCCACCAGGTTTAGGTAGCCACTGCATCAGGAATGGCAGCAAGGACTTCCAGAGACTTGAGAAATATATGTCTCATTGAATACTCCATGCCGTGCTCACGTTTGTACTTGTGAAGCCGCTGATATTGAAGGACTGGTGGAACAGGATAGGTAGAGAAGGTGCTGAATATTTAAACAGCCTCGTCCCCGTGACATCGATGAAAGGGTGTAGCTTGTATCAGAGGCTATATTAAAGTTGTACCTCCTTTTGGAGTGACAAACACAAGCTGTTTCACTTGGATTTACATTGCACTAATTTTAATGAACTTCAGATGAGAGGTACAATATTTAATACTAAATTGATGTTACCATATGCAGGGATTCAGGCACGATATTAGAATCTTCAGGTCCCGTTTCCACTTCAGGCGGGCAGACCCAGCCCTGGCAGAATCCTTCAGACTGCCAGAAGCTCCTCTAAGTGAAGAGAATAATATTGTTCACTCCCTTGTGCTGCTGCTGGGAGGATGCAGACGCAATGCTCACAAAGCTCTTCTCTGCTCAGAGCAAAGCCCTAGAGAGAGACGGAGCACTTTAGCTCAGATCTGCACCACAGTCCGAAAAGATTTTTTTCTCTTTTCCTTTTGCTCTTGATTGTTCTGTTTTGGAAGGAAGAAAACACTGGTCTAGAGAGACAGGGCCAAGCATTATTTTGGATCATTATTTTGTTGTTGTAGGGGTCAGAGCACAACGTTGAGGGGCTCTTCCACATGAACCTGGCTTCTTTCCACTCCCCGGGCTTGGTTGCCTCTAATCTTCCTTGTTCTTCTTCTCAAACTTGTATTCACCCTTGGTTATGTATCTGTCCACCGTGTTGTCAGGTGGAAAACAAAAATGGAATATAACAGAATAATGGTTTGGTTTTTGTTTAGTCATAATTGGATTTTTTAAAGTAGCATCTAAAAGAAAGGAATTATACAAAGAAACCTAGAAGTGAGTGGAGACAGAGTTGTGATGTAAACATTATGGCCCCCAAGGATGAATGGAAGACTTTCTTTCCAGAGAAGCTCAGTGGTACTTTTTATTGTTGTTGTTCTGGGATTGAACCCAGGACCTTCACACCGAACTACATCCCCATTCCTTTTTAAATTTTGAGATTACATCTTGCTAAGTCCCTTTCAAATTTTGAGATTGCAATCTTGCTAAGTCCCTAAGTTGCCCAGGCTGGATTCAAGTTTGCGGTACACCCATTTCACCTTCCCGAAGTGCTGTGATTGTAGGCGTGTGTCACCACGTGTGTCACCACATTCAGCTGGTGGGAGAGGTTAATACACGGGAAGTGAGAGACAGTGGCTGCTATGTCACAGATTCCCACTAGAGGTGGCTGCTCTTGCTGTTTACTGGTTCCTTTCCTTCATACAGTTAATGGGTGCTGCCATACTGGGCTCTTCTTTTCTTCAAAGGCTGGGGATTTTGCTCTCTTACTTTCTGTTTGCTGCCACGGTGCCGGGATCCAGGCGCTGTGACATTGTCCCTTAGTGGAATGACAATAGAACTTTAAGTGTCACAGAGGCAGCCATGTTGCCTGTATGGAATCCAAGACTCTACTCTGTCCCCTTCCATCCCATCGCAGGGCAGGTTCATTGCTCTCCTTCTTCTAAGGGAGCTTTGTAAGTATGTCCAAAAGGAGTGTTAGATTCCTATACCTTAAAGGTATGTTTTTTTGTTGTTTGTTTGTTTTTCTGTTTTTTTTTTTTTTTTTTTTTTTTTTTTTGGTACCAGGGATTGAACTCGGGACCTTACGCTTGTTAGGCAGGAGGTGGAACCACTAAGCTAATGAGCTCATGTAAATGAACTAGGCTGACCCCAACTTTCACTTATATAAAGGACCAAAGGGAGTGTTACTTTGATAGGGAATCCCTGGCCTGTTGTAGAAACAGGCAAAACAATGTTTTTACCAGATCAGATTCTATGAAAAATGTGGTTATGATAGACAGCAAGGGTTTAACCAACCCTCAAACATCTCAGGTACCAGGGAAAACAGGTCTGTCCTTGGTTGATTCTGAAATGGAAAGGCTCAGAGATGAAAGACTTTGTGCTAAAGCCTTCCAAGGGTGGGGTGGGGGGCTCTTGTGTTTCAGGATTACTATTCATGCCTCAGGTCACAAAGATGCTATGATTCATAGTGCCATCAAATGCTGTTGTAGTTTGGTCATCAACTAGATGTTAGCGGTTTACAGAGAGTGGGAGTTCTGTATTTCGATTTCCAAATCTGTTTCCTCCCGTATCAATGTGTTTTAGTTTTAGTTCGCTGATACTCTGACCCCTAAAGCCCAGCTGACCCTGAGGGACTGCCTTTTCCATGGCTGGCAAATTTCGAGAGATAGTAGACAGTCTGCCTATGAACACTTGGAACAGCACTTTAAACCAAACAATTCAGAGCCCATGATCCCATCACCTCTTCTGCTGGGATGTCACACTCGGTGCCACTCTTCCCTTGCTCTAATCACTGGAGGACCAGGCACCATGCAGCCAAAGACTGGCCCTGTGCTCCGGAGCCCACTGGAGCTGATCCTAAACTCACCTACCCTGTCTCACCTGTTCCTTCTAGTGGAAACCATAATAATCCAGGGCTTCCCTCTGTGTTCCCATCTATGCTGTGAGCATAAGAAACTATCTCTTCAATGGCAGATCTCTCACAATGAACTATGCCTAAATAGTAATAAAATTCTATACTTTAAATCCGTCTCCTACAGCTGAATTAAGATAAGGTCTAGGAAGTCCTAAAGGGAGAAGAATGAATGTTGTTGTTTTTTTTTTTTTTTTTTTTTTTTTTTTTTTTTACGGGG